TGTCCTCGGGGGTCCTGCACGGTCCGGTCGATGCCCCGGCTGCCCCTGGCTATGAGGCATCCTTGGCGCTTGCTCCTCACGTTGATGATCCGATGATGGGCCTTCATGCGACACCGACACATGCTCCTGCGGGTTATGCTCCGGCGCCATCGCCGTTCTACTTCTCCCATCTCCTTCCGATGAAGCTTACGTCGGACAACTACTTGTCATGGCGGGCTCAGGTGCTACCCCTCCTCCGAAGTCGCTACTTGGAGGGCTATGTTGATGGCTCCATCCCCTGTCTGCCGCCGTATCATCCGGCTCATCATGTGTGGGTGGCTCAAGACCAGGCGATACTTTCTGCCATTCAGTCCTCGCCCACTCAGAGCGTATCGTCGCTTGTCATCTTCGCCGCGACATCTCGGGATGCTTGGTCTGCGCTTCACAGCAGCTTTGCCTCTCAATCTCAGGCGCGTGCTCACTCTATCCGCACTGAGTTGGGGGAGACCAAGCTTGATGGCCTCACTATCACGGAGTACTTCAACAAGATGTCCGGTCTTGCCGATACGTTGGCCTCAATTGGCCAGCCCCTTGGAGATGAAGATTTCACCACCCATGTGCTCAATGGCCTCGATGATGACTATGATAATCTCATTGAGAACGTCCATGGTCGCGAGGTGCCTATTCCGCCACGGGAACTGTATGTGCGTCTCCTGGGTCGCGAACAGCGCATCAAAGCACGTCGAACTGCTCCGAGTTTTGCCTCTGCTAATGCCGTGACCCGCGGCAAACCACAGAAGCCGTCGCTCCCTGCCAAGCCGACGGCTCCATCTCAGCAGACTTCGCGTGGCACCGCGCCTTCCATCATAGGCGGATCGCGGTCAGTGGCTTGCTGCCCTTGTTGCGGCGCTCAGCAGGCCTGCCAAATGTGTGGTATTGAGCGCCACATAGCTTCTCGCTGTCATCGCCGCTACAAGCAAGATTTCCTTGGCCTAGGCAACAATGGCAAAGGGAATGAAAAACAGGCGGCCGCTGCGGTAGTGAGTCATGAGCACGGACGCACTCCATCCTACTCGATTGATCCTACATGGTACATGGACACAGGAGCTACGAACCACCTCACCAACGACATGGGCAAGCTCTCCACTCAGGAGCCATATCGCGGCCATGATCAGGTGCACACCGCCAATGGAGCAGGTATGCGCATCTCCCATGTTGGTCAGGCATTCCTTCTTGCACACAATTCGCGAAAACTGCATCTTTCTAATGTTCTTCGTATTCCCACTGCTTCACGTAGTTTGTTGTCTGTTCCACAACTTACTCGTGATAATAATGTCCTTGCTGAGTTTCACCCTTTTCGTTTCTTTATCAAGGATCGGGACACGAGGGCCGTTCTGCTTAGCGGTCGTCTTCATCATGGCTTGTATGCACTTGACGTGCCGACCGCACCTCCTATGCAGTTTTCTCCTCAGGCGTTCAGTGGTGTTCGTGTGTCACCTACACATTGGCATGCGCGCCTTGGTCATCCCGCTACTCCCATAGTTTGTCATGTGTTGCATCGTCATGAACTACCGATTGTGTCAAATAAATCTGCTGAAACTATTTGTGATGCCTGTCAGCAGGGCAAGAGTCATCAACTCCCATTTTCAGAGTCTAGTCGTGTTGTGAAACATCCTCTTGAACTTGTGTTTTCCGATGTATGGGGTCATGTCCAAACGCCTATCAGTGGCCACAATTATTACGTCAGTTTCATTGATGCTTATAGTCGGTTTACTTGGCTTTATCTTATTAAGAAAAAATCTGATGTGTTGATGTTTTTATACAGTTTCAAGCACATGTTGAGCATCTCCTTAACCAGAAAATTATCCATGTTCAAACCGACTGGGGGGAGGGGGTGAATATCACAACCTCAACTCGTTCTTTAACAAACTTGGGATTGCACATCGTGTGTCTTGTCCTCATAGACATCAGCAGAATGGGACTGCTGAATGTAAGCATTGTCATCTTGTCGAAACTGGCATTACTTTATTAGCTCATGCCTCCGTACCTTTTAGGTTCTGGAGTGATGCCTTCTCCACTGCCTGTTTTTTGATTAATAGGCTGCCCTCACGACTACTGAATATGAAAACTCCGCTTGAACTCTTGCTCAATGAAATCCCAGACTACACATTTCTCAAAGTCTTCGGGTGTGCATGTTGGCCTCATTTGCATCCATATGACAAACATAAGCTAGAGTTTCGGTCGAAAAAGTGTGTTTTTCTTGGGTATAGTTCCCTTCACAAAGGGTACAAATGCCTACATGTTCCCACCAATCGCGTCTACATTTCTCGTGACGTTGTATTTGATGAGAATGTGTTCCCCTTTCATGCACTTCCGAACACCTTTATCACTCCTATGCCAGCCGTTTCTTCTACCACACCTACGCCTGATCAATTTGTGAATATTGCACATGCTCCTGTGTTGCTTCCTAACCATGATGTAGGTGTTGGACGTGGTGCTCGTCTTGAGCTCCTTGAGGAACAGGCACCAACGCATGCTCTGAATCCGGAGGTTGATCGTGTGCATGGGGCATGCATACCGGGCAGTACCCAGCAACCCGCGGGAGCTGCACCCGTAGCCGCCTCGCGAGCATCGCCCCCGTCCTCGCCTGCCTTGCGGGCGTCGCCCGAGCCTGCTTCGCGGGTGGTTTCTCCTGGGCCGGTCGCTTCCTCTCCTGGCCCAGGGGCTGCCTCACACGCGCCGGCTTCAGCTCCCGATGGGTCAGCCTCGCCGGGCCCAACACTGCCTGCCTCTCCAGCGCCAGACGGCTCTGGTGTGAGCCTGGAGGACTCGGCCTCGCCTCTGTCGTCACCTGCATCAAGCCCGAAGCTGCAACCACAGCCTGCTGCTCTTCGACCTCGCACACGCAGCCAGACAGGTGTCTTTCAGCCAAAGATCCGAACCGATGGGACTGTAGCGTGGCTCGCCGCGTGCATGGCTCATGCTGCTGAGGATCCTACTGCTGAGCCTCGACATTTTCAGGCTGCACTAGGCATTCCTCACTGGCGTGCCGCGATGGAACAGGAGTTTCAGGCGTTGCTGAAGAACGACACCTGGCAGCTTGTTCCCCCCAGTATCTGGGGTCAATATCATTGATTCTAAGTGGGTGTTTAAAGTCAAGAGACATGCTGATGGCTCCATCGAGCGTTACAAAGCAAGGCTAGTGGCTAAGGGCTTCAAACAGAGGTATGGTCTTGATTATGAAGACACGTTCAGTCTAGTTATCAAGCCCACTACCATTCGTTTGTTGCTGTCCCTTGCTGTTACTCGAGGATGGTTTCTCCGTCAACTTGATGTGCAGAATGCTTTCTTGCATGGAGTCCTGGAGGAGGAGGTTTATATGCGTCAGCCGCCAGGGTTTGTGGATCCTGCGCGTCCTCATCATCTTTGTCATCTTTTTAAGGCACTCTATGGGCTTAAGCAGGCTCCCCGTGCCTGGCACGCATGTCTCGGCTCTGTTCTGAGGGCGCTTGGGTTTATTCCCTCCACTGCTAACACCTCGCTATTTCTTCTTCAGCGTCCTGAGGTTACGATGTATTTACTAGTCTATGTTGATGATATCATCCTCATCAGTTCCTTAGATGTTGCGGCAGATCGTCTTGTGGCTGCGTTAAGTGGTGATTTTGCTGTCAAGGATCTAGGTGCTCTGCACTTCTTCCTTGGTCTGGAGGTGTCACGGTCTTCTATTGGGGTAACTCTTACTCAAAAGAAGTATTCTCTGCATTTGTTGCGTCGTGCTGGTATGCTGAAGTGTAAACCTGCCAGTACTCTAATGTCTGCCACTGATCGGTTGTCTGCTCTTGATGGAGACCCTCTCTCACCTGATGATGCCACTGAGTACCGCAGTCTTGTTGGAGGTCTGCAGTATCTTACTATCACCAGACCAAATGTCTCGTATGCAGTCAATCATGTCTGTCAGTTTCTCCATGCACCCAGGACATCTCATTGGTCAGCTGTGAAGCGTATCCTGCGTTATATCTGTCTCACTACGTCTTATGGTTTGCTCCTCCAACCGGCGCCGTCTTATGAGATCTCAGCCTTTTCAGATGCAGACTGGGCT